TTGATTTGGTCTATAGGAGCAAAGGGACCCGTTAAATTTCGGCTGTTAAATCTCTCTGCCTGAAGCCAGCCATCTCTGCGGGTGGGCAGGGGACCTGGTAGGCAGGAGGGAGTTGGGGGTAGAGTGGACCAGCCAGTGGCTAGCGCCCTACTGGGGGTGTTCTTAGACACCCTGATGCTAATGGATCAGCCCAGGGCCCCAGGCAGCCTGGCTTGGACCTCTGCTGTCCCCCTGTCCACAGAACTGAGTCCAGCCACACCCCACTGCTCGGCAGCCTCTGAGCAAACATGCTGTTGTGCCTTGCTCATGCAGACCCCTCCCCTCCGCTCCCTTCTCCATCTCTTAGCATTCTACTGTTTTCCAGACCCAGTGCAAAGGTCACCTCCTCCATGAAGTCTTCCAGCTTTCTACTTCCTACCCCTAACACCCTGAGAGAAGCGGGTTTTTCTTTCCCAAACTCCCAGAATCCCCAGGACTGCCTGCCTCTGACTTCGGCCATCTCTGCTACACTAACTAGGGGTTGTGGGCCCACTGAACGGGGGACACATGTGCTTCACCCTCTCAGCCTCCACACACAGGTGGGTCCTGGTAGGCCAGGCACCCAGGTGACGGTGAACTCCTCAGCTCGGGAAGACAGGGCGGGAGTGTGGTCTGAGCCAGGGTCTGGAGGTCATGGGAATGGGGCCCCAGGCACCTGCCTCTGGACTAGAGCTCAGGGCCCTGTGGCAGAGTCAAGAACGGCTCCATCTTGAATTGTTCCCTCTCCCTTCTGTGTGACACCTTGTCTGGCCATTGCACGGCCTCAGAGTGAAACTACCCACTCAGTGGAAGGCACCCGCACCCTGGGTGAGGAGCGCGGACCTGGAGCCAAGCAGCCTGGGACACAGGGATCTGTAACCTGGGTGGTCGCTTCCTCGCTCCCCCGTCAGACCTCATCAGTAAAACAGGATCCCGGTCCTACCCCTCTAATGGTGGTGGGGCTTAAACAAGACAACTACGGCAGAGATCCAGAGAGGGCCAGTGGCTGCCTGGAGTCACACAGCAAGAGAGTGGAAAAGATACTGGGGTTCCTGTTTCCCAGCCTCAAACTCCCCCCACTTCCAGCTCTCCCAGGCTGGGGTCCCAGGCTGGGGCCTGCATCCTGCTGGAGGCCTGGTCTGTGTAACCTGGCAGCTGCTCCCCGTGACCTGGGGAACAACATACCATCAGCCTGCTCAGGGCCTGGCCTGGGCCCCCCTGGTGGTTCCTCTGGCCTGACCTGGCCTCCCCAGGGGGCCTTATCTGCTTATTCTCTCCTTTCCCACCGAGCTAATCTCTCCCTCTTTTCAAGAGTTCCTGCTTCCTCTCTGCCGCCTTCTTGTCTCTCCCCGGGCCCTGTTTCTCCCATGTCTCCGGCCAGCCTCCCACACTTGGTTCAGAAGCTTCCTCAAAGCTGCTCCCACTATCATTTTTGGGGAGTCCGTTCCCATCTCTCAGGGGCTCTGTGGGCCTCACAGAGCCCAGCCTGGGACTGCTGACTTAGCAAGGAGGGTAGGGAGCACGGCCTGGGTCGGGAACCCTGCTGGTGACAAGCATTTTGACAGCACAGATCAATACCTCCTCCGGGTTGGCTGTTGTCTCTGGAGGACTTCTGATGCGATGGTTTGAGGCTTTTACTCCCAAACTCCAAGGTAGAAGATTCTATGGCTCCAAATCTCCGGCCACAATAAGATCCGAGACATGAGAGCTCTGAGGTCCTGGGATTCACACCAGAGGAGGCCTCTCCCCGCCTCACCCGCGTGTGGGCGCAGCCCAGCCACATGCTTCAGCCCTGCGCTGGCCGGGAGCAGTCCGGGGACCAGCTCCCCACCGCGCCCTGGTCGCCCAGCCCCTGACCAGCCAGAGAGCTGCAGGGCTTCACTGCAGGCCCGGGCACTGGCCAGCGGCAGGTGCATAGGCCCACTGAGCCAGGAGCCCAGCAGGGCACCTGTCCTGAGCCGGAAATCGCCTTCTGCCTTCTACGTTGCTCAGCCCGTGCCTAGTTGGAGTGAGAACCTGCGAGAAGGGGTTTGGTGTCAGACACTCCTGGGCTCCTGGCTCTGCCCTGCTCTGAACTTACTGTGAGATCCGGCCCCTCTTGGGCGCCACTTCCTCACCTGTCAGATGGGGATAACCCTACCCACCTGGGGCCTTCTGGGGAGACACTTGGGACAATGTGCTTGGCATGGCACACAGTAGGTGCACAAGAAAAGGTAGCATTTATATTGTATGACCACTCTTTCTGAGAGTCATTCTGGGTTCTTGGTCAGGTTTCCCATTTGCTTGTGTTAGACACCTCCAATTCAACATTTCCAAGGCATGTACTTGGCCTTGAGTATACCAGCCCCAGATCCTGGGGCCCCGGGTGCACTGGCCTGGTCCCAGCCCGTGAGAAGGCCCCCGACAGGGGAGGCAGATACAGACACAGCACAGACCGCTACAATGCCTGGGCTAGGTACAACGTCAGCCAGGAGCTCAGAGGCTGCGGGAACCCAGAGGAGGCTGAGGGTGGTCAGGGAAGGCTTTCTGGAGGAGGGAAACATTCACATGGGCCTTGAAGGGAAAGTGGGCAGTGGCAGCCACTGTGATGCTGTGTGCCATGGCTGCTTTAAAGGTTCGGAGAGTTGTTGGAGCCTGAGCCCCGGGGAAGGCTTTGTAGAGATGGCCGTGAACACTGAGGAACAGCAGACGCCCGGAGGCAGGCCGTGCAGAGGAGGTGGCTGGGGAGCTGCTGGAAATGTGGCTGGAAGAGCCACCTGGGACCAGAGGGAAGGGCCTTGTACTCCTGGGCAAAGAATGAGGCACTGATTTTGCGAGCAATGGGGAGCCAGTGAAGGCTATGGAGCAGGGGCAGCCCTGGACTTTCAAGAGTGCACATTTCAGGGGCTTGTTCAATGGAGACTGAGTGGTTTCTGCAGAGATGCTGGTGGGAGCCCTGCCCTGGGATGTCCTGCAACCTCACCACCAGCCCCTCAGCTTCTTATCAGCTCTGTGACCACAGGAAAGGCCCTTCCCTTCTCGGAATTTCCTCATCTGCAGAAAACATCGAGAGGAGACCAGGAGACTTATCTTGAAGTTTCTTTCAGCCTGTGACTCTGTCACTATGGCCGCCCCCGCTGCACACTTTCAGGCAGGGGCCTGGAGGGTGGCCACACAGCCCTCCCTCTCCCCGCTCTGTGATTGGTCCATCTCTCAGCCGTGTCCATGTCACCCACCTGGGTGCCTGCCTCTCTGAGTCCTGCCCAGGCTGCAAGGCCCCGCGGTGCCCCGGCCTTTCCAGGTCATGTCTGCGCACAGAAATTCCGTTTACAAACTCTCCTTACGTCCTTTGTCTCGTGTGGCCATCCACAGCCAGACCAAGATACAGGTGACTAACAGTTGCTTCCACTTGGGGGGACCTAGGACACTCTTCCCTTGTCCCCAGTGCCGCCCCCATGACAGGAAGTGAAGCCGAAGCTGAGGGACAGTGTTGTGCAAACTGAGACCCGGTCTTCACTTGGCCGTAGCTGGGACCCCCGGCTCCTCCCATCTCCCTGGCTGTCACTTCTCAGTCTCTTTTCTTCGTCTGCCCGCGCTCCCCCTGGAAGCGCCCAGGCTCGGGCCTTGGGGCCCTCTGCTCTCTGTCCCGCACCTTAGTGCCGATGCCCAGCGTGCACCTCGCCCCAGCCTCTCCCCAGACCCCAGAGTTGAACGTCTGCCCGGCCCCTCAGTGTTTCCACTTGGGGCCGAGTCGGCATCGCCTTCTCCACGTGTCCAAGTCCGACCCAGTCCTCTCTCGTGCCGTTTCAGCGTCCTTCCCAGTGCTCGGCCCAAACCCCTGCCATCCTTCTCGATCCTCTTCGTCCTCACACCCCACAACCATAAAGAGGACACGTCCTGAGGGAGCACCCCAGAAATCCCACTGCCTCTCTCCACACCCACTGCACCAGCCTGCTCTAACCACCAGCCTTAATCTCCACTACCCCGTTTTACAAGTGGGGAAACTGGGGCCTAGAGAGGGGAAAGGCTTCCCCAGGGTCACGCAGGGAAACCACAAGGTTAGCTGGAACCCGAATCTGCGTCCCCAGCTCCCCCTGGGTTGGGTTTTCCCTTGAAGCTAGCTTAGCAGGTCTGACGACAGGGCCAGGCTGTGTGCGTCCGTGTGTGTCCCTGAGGAACAAAGAATCTGCCAGCTGGGTTTATGTTTCAAGACGTCTGTCCTCGCCCTTGACCAAGAGCTCTTGCAGGGAGACTAGGGCCAGAGCCCCAGAGCCGGTTGGGGGGAGGTAGGGACATCAATCAGAAGCCGCCTGGCCGGGAAACCGGAGCGCCCGCCCCGCCGGCCAGGATTTTCTGAGCTCTCTTGAGGAGGCCAGAGACTGCAGGGGAGGGCTGGGGTTCTCGCAGCATTTATTTCATACAGCTGTTTAAAATATAGATCATTATATATATATATTTATATATATAAAATATATAAAGAGGAATTGAGGCAAGCCACCCCAGAGGAAAAGCTATGTTTTATAAATATTTCTGTAGCTCCCACATCCCAGAGGAAGAAAAAAACAAAACAAAACAAAAAAACATTTACAACCCAAGCTAGTGGTTCCATGTGGTGGGCCCGGCAGGCTCGACCCTGGGGGCCGGGGGTCTCGAGGGCAGGCCGACCCCCTCCTTCCCCGGAGGCTGGTGATCTGGCTGCGAAAGGTCAAGTCTATACCAGTCTTGCCAATCCCATGCCCTTGGCTTCTTAGACCAGCCTGGAAGGCAGCAAGTGGGCACTCCAGGGCTCAGGCTGCCAGGTTATTTTTAATCTTGTCCGTTTCCTTTGATGTCCCGGCCCTCCTTCTGTCCCTGGTGGCTTCCAAGTGGAGGCACAGACCTCCTCCAATGCCTGGCATCTGGGATTCACCAGCAAAAGCCACGGGGTGTCTCCAGGCCTCGGTGAGCCTTGGCGGGCCTCTGAGGTCCCCAGGGGCTCCCGCGGGCGAGCCTTGGCGGGCCTCTGAGGTCCCCAGGGGCTCCCGCGGGCGCGCAGGCCTCACTTGCAGACGTAGCGCTCCACGGTGCGCTCACACCTGCGGCAGGTGACGTAGCAGCACCAGTGGTACTTGCAATGGCACCGCTCGACCACGCGGTCTGTGTAGGGGTTGTAGCCGCGTCCACAGCACATGAGGTCGCAGCTGTCACTGCCGTGGGACGTCTTGTTGCATTGCCTGGTGGGGGGGACAGGGGAGGTTAATGAGCACTCTGTCCCCCCAGCCCCACACTCCAAGGCAGGCAGCCCGAAGCCTCCCCCACCGCGGCCACAGACTCAGCACCTCACGGAAGGCGTCCTGGTCTTGGGAATTTTAAACAATCCTCTTCCCCAGGGGTACTTCTCACTTTTCCCTATATTTCTAACAGGCATTTATCAAAATGATGGGGGGTGTTTTATTTCGTAGAAGTGTCTTTTTTCCTACTTCTCCCACTTCTGAATACCCGAAGGAGCCTCAAATCACTCCAACCATCTTATCTTCATACTTAATCTTGACTTATAATGTAACAAATGTAAAGACTGCTTTTACTCTTAGAATCCCGGGATGAATTCTGAAACAGACCGAAAGCACCGACGGGCACACAGTGAGCGTCTGGCACACTGTTCACCGGAGAGGGTCTGTCACCTGCGCCCCGATGTGCCAGGTGCTTTGCGCCAGTATTTCATCTTACTGGAGCCATGCAGGGTCCTTGGCCGATGGAAGTATTATGCTCAGTGAGTAACAGATGGAAACAGCTCCGTGAATGAGGGCAGAGGCCTGGTCGGTCTCACAGGAGTCTGTGATTAGCAGGGCTTAAGCTCAGGGGTCCTAAAACGAACTTCAGTCCATGCTCTCCCTTCCCCAAAGGGCAGAGAACCCAGAGCTGCATTTATTCCTGAATCACTCCTGTCGGAAACGAAGACACTGAAGGTCCCTATAAAACCCAAGTATCCTGTTGCTGTCAGTTGTCTCGTGAAGAAGCACCTGTGCACACTGGCAGTTCCTCTAGCGGAGACAGAGATGTCATGATGGGACACAGCTGGGTCCCCGCAGCCTGGTGGGCCAAGGAATCCCAGAATGCCCAAGATGTGCAAGCTCTAGAGATGACCAACCCAACCCTCGGGCTTCCCAAGGGGAAAACCACGGCACAGATGGGGAGAGGACTCTCCCATGTCACACGGGGTGAGCGCGGGCTCTGAGCACAGGCCTCCGGCGGGAGGGGGAGTCCTCTAGGCCATTTCATGAAAGAGGCGCAGGAATCTAAGACAGAGAGGAGGGGAGAGGGGCATAGAGAACTCACAGCCTGCCCTGCCCTGCCCTGCTGGTGGCGGTGAGAACAGACGGAAGGGGTAGAGCAGGAGGTGGGGAGGCCAGGGAGGAGGTGGCAGCAGCTGAGTGAGAGGCCAAAGCCTGAGCTGGGGAGGATCCGTGGGGTAGACCCGCAGGAGGGGAGCAGCCTGGGGGAGAGGCAGGAGGGGACAGCGAGCTGCATGTGGGGGCCACATGCAATGCCAGACAGGAGGCAGGAGGGAACAGCAGGAAGGACACATGCCCCGGAGCCAGACAGACCTGGGTTCAAGTCCCCGCTCTGCCCCTACTGGTTGTGTGACTTCAGGCAAGTCACTTAACCTTTCTGGGCTTCGTTTAGTCACTCAATACCATGGGCCCCCTCAGCGCTACACTGAAGGAAAGGGTGGAAGGAAGTGGGCAGAGCTCACTTTTATTCTGGACCTTGACACACAATGTCTAAACACCTGGCCCCGAGCTCCGAGCCAGACCAAGCTGGAGATGGCGCCTGCGAGGGGAATTCGGGAGGGCGGGGCCTGGGATAAGGGACTTGGCACCGGGGAAGACTACTGGGACACCTGGCTCCCGGGGATCCCCTGGCACAGGCCATGAGAGGGCAGGTTTCAGGGCACAGGGGCCTCTGGAGGGAACACCACCAAAGGGCTGGGGTTTGGAATTCTGACTGCTGATGAGGAGGATGTCCTCCCAGCGCGGGAGCCAGCCTCTGGGGAGGTACCACCTGTGCACATGCCTTTTAAAGTTAAAAGGCTCATTTATGTCCAACCTCCTGCACCCACAAATCCCCTAACCTAGTAAAGCTTACATTTTCCCTCCTCCAGGAAGTCACCCTTGATGCCCAGACTGGGTCAGGGCCCCCCTGCGCTCCCCTCATTTCTGGGCTTCCCTTGGTCACAGTGTGAGCACTTGGTGTCTCTCCACCTCCCCAGGGCTGCCAGAGTCTCGGGCCATGAGTGCGAGGAGTGTCTGTGGTCAAGCTACTGAGATACTGGGGCTGCTTGTTACTGCAGAAAACATTGACCAATACAGGTGTCTGCAAAGGCCCATCCCCCAAAGAATGCTGAGAGTTGAGTGTGGCAGGAAACCTGGGTTGGGGGGACATTGGGAGTAAGGAAGGAAGGTCCCAGTGCTGTGAAACGGGGCCTCCTCATCGGTAGTTTGGGGGCAAATCCTAGGGGTAGAGTCAGGGGAGCTGGGAAAGAAGAGGCCTGGAAGCCTGGGGCGGGAGGATGGGAGGGGAAAAGCCCTTCCCATGGGACTGACACTGCCAAGCAGGAGGAGCTGCTCTTAAATGTGATTAGAGCTCACTCAGCAACCCTCCCAGTATGTGGTAGCGGCCCCATTGCACAGAAGACAAGACTGAGCCCAGGGAAGGGAAGGGGTTTGCTCAAGGCCCAACAGCCAGGAAGCTGCGGGAGTCAGGGTGCAGACTATCCCTTCCCAATACACACACACACAGCCCCCCATGAATCCAGGGAGACCCTCTCTTTGCTCTGGGGTCCCTGATGGACTTCCCCCAGCCCCTCTGGGTTCTAGAACCCTCCTCTCCCACCCCATCCTCATCATAGCCACCCTGACTGCCTCGCTCCTTTCTGTCTTCCTGGACTGACCCAGTTCCATCTTCACTCTGCCCGACCCCCTCAATCTGGCCTCCAGATGGGAGCCTGGGCCTCCTCACAGAGCCTGCTGCCCTGGCCTGTGAAGACAGAGCCCCCCAAACCAGCCCCCCTCTCCTGGAGACAGGAACGTGGGCTGCGGAGGAAGCAAATGCTGGCCGGGCACCAACTATGTGCCAAACACATTCTCAGACACCCTCGCTCTGGTTCAATATTCTTTTAACCCCGAAGAACACTCATTTTGTGGAATGCTATTAGGGGCTCCTTAATAAAAGAGTTCCACAGCCAAACACCTCTGGGAAACACAGCTTAGACAGATCCTTTGCTGTGGGATTCCTCGGAGCCTTTAATATGTTCTCGTGCTTTGTGAATCGCCAGAAAATTTCCCAAATGAATACGCGTGTGGAACTGTCTCTATTATAGCTTCTCAGGACTGGCTTCCTCCAGAACTGTCTCTGGGAAATGCTGCTCCCTGCAGACCTGCCTGGCACACGGTAGGTCTGCAGTCAGCTCCCTACCTACCTCCTGTCCCCAGTCAGCCTCAGCAGCCAGGATGGGGACAGCTATAAGGATCCCAGCCCCGGCTCTGAAAGTGGGGACCAGAGGGCCAGTGCATGCCTTGGGGGACATGGGACCGCCATCTCTCCACAGAACGCAGGCGACCTCGCTCTCCTGCTGCCCCTCTGGAAAGTGGTTGCCCTGGTTCTGCCTCAGCCTGTGCAGACTTCCCGGGGCGCTGTGGCTGGCTGCTGCCCTCCTCCCCTGTGCCCCAGGTCCTCTTTTGTCCCGTGAGCAAGTTGTTTGACGTGCATCTTTCACTTATTCATCTGGCAAACAACTACGGAGGCTGGCCCTGTCAGTGTCTCTTCCCATCTGTCTCCCCAGCAGGAAGGAAGGTTGCGGGGGGCCTTTCACCAACCTCCATTCCCGAGGGGCCCCTGCCTTGGCGAGGTGCACAACAGCCATTCCCCGAACTCTGCCAGGTCCCTGAACCCTGGCACGTCCACTCAGCATTCTTGGGGCCTCCTCCCTTGAGACTCCATTCACCAAATGCCAGCTGAGGCCCGACTACGTGCCTGGCCCCGAGCTGGGATGGGGCACGTGCACCGCGGCTGACCCTCTCTGCCGGGGCGGTGGCAGGCCCTTACCTGTCTTGCGTCCCGTGGGAGCCCACCTTCTCGTTCTTCATGCAGAAGTCAGGTGAGCTCTGCAGATAGACGAGCTCCGAGTCCTTCACAGGCCGAATGTCCAAGTCCTTGGGCACCAAGTGCTTGCGGGTGCCCATGGGTCGGTGCACTACCTTGGTGGCCGACAAGTAGCGGGTCTTCAGGTCAGTGGCCACATCCCGAAGCTCCTGCAGCCCCTTCCAGCAGGTGCGGATGGAGCAGGAGCCCGATACCCCGTGGCACTTACACTTCATTTCCAGAGAGGCACGCAGAGCCTGTGGACAGGAGGAGGCATCAGGCTGGTGGCCAAGGCCCCCTCCCTGGCCTGCACTGGGACCCTGTGCACCCGTCTCCCCTAAAACCCACCTCTCCCGTGCTGGGTGCTCTCAGGGAGTCATCACCTGCCCTCGCTGGACCTCAAGGGTCAGGCTTTTTGCTCTAAAGCTGGGGGTGTTATAGGTCCTCAGTTCCTCCTCCAAACTGGGGGGGGGGGCAGCTGGGAGGAGCAGGAAGAGAGTGGCATTTGCAGGATACTGGATACTAGTCAGACACCTGCTATATGCCGAGTGCTCCTTCTAACACCTACGGTGGCTTCATCGTCACCACAGCCCTTCACTGGGGGTTCCTTCCTTCCCCTGCTGTAAGAGAGGACGTGAAGGCTCAGACTCCTAAGTCTCGGGCACAAGGTTGCACAGCCAGGAAATCTCGAAGCTGGGATAGAACCCAGCTCTGAAGGCAATTCCTAAAGTCATGGCTTTTAATTGTCACACTTTTTCTCGCATGCAAAACTGGGGCTCACTAAGTGTTTGCTGGGGAAAAAGGAGGGACAGAGAAGGAAGGGAGGGGGGGAAGAGTGAGGACAGAGGAAGGGAGAGGGAAGAGAGGCAGCAGGGGAGTGCATGGAGGTGCTCCCTGGCCTGGTGACCGGTCCCTCCCAGCCAGCAATCCTGCCAGGTGACCTCAGCCAGCCACTTCACCACTCAGAGCCTCTGTCTTCCCACATGCAGAGTCAACACATAATTGTCACCTTGCTTAGTCGTAAGAATTCAACGAAATGACATATATGAAGGGGGTTTGTGAACTATAAAACTTAAAACAATATTGGCTTTGAAAATCAGTCTAAATAATAGTTTGGTGGAGGGAGGCTTGGGCTTTGGGTTAGGGGAGTCTCTGGCCCTGGCTTTGGAAGTAAGTCTGCCCCACCACCTTCCCTGGGCCCCCGTTTCCCCATGTGTACCTGAGGGGCACGAATTAGATCCTTTCAGTTCTGCCCTTTAATCCCTGCTTCTTTGCACACAGGACTGGGATCCAGGTGCCCAGGCCGGCCCGCCTCCCGCCCTGTGCAGACAGCTGCAGGCTTACGGTCCCCTGGGCCTACCCCCCCCCCCCTCCGCATCAAAGAGGCCAGCACACTGAGGCCCAGGGAGGGCAGGGACTTGTCCAGAATCACCCGGTGAGTTAGTGAGGACACTGGCCGAGGTCCCAGGGCTCCTTCCCCCTCCCTGGTGCCAGTGGGGACTGAGGGAGTCCCTTTGAGTATAAAATCTGGAATTGGCTGATGACGCCTCAGGAATGCAGGGCAGTTCAGCCTCCCAGAGGTGGGAGGTACTTTAAATCATCCGAGGAAAGGTGCCCCCGGTCCAGTCCCTCAGCTCAGCCGTGTGACAGCACTGAACACCTTGCGTCTGAGAGGCCATCTACCCTCACAGGCCCGGAGCCTGAGGGCAGGGACCACTCCCTTCTGCCGTGGCCCCAGAGAGGCCGGCTCCTGGCACCGGGGCCCCGGGAAAAGTCCACTGTGCCCCTGGCTGAGAGCCCTGTGTGGGCTGCATGGAGGGAGATGATGGCTGTACCTTGGCAGCACGTTTTGGGCCGTGGGTGGGGGTGGGGCTGGGGGAGGGGCTCCTGCTGAGTGTCCAGGGACGGAACTCAGAGCACCTGACTCCTAGCTCAGGGCTCCTTCTCCACCAACATTTCCAACCCCAACCCCAGGGTTAGGAGGCTAGAGTCCTGGGGCCCTGGCCAGGCTCTGCTACGGACAGACATCGTGACTTGGCCTCAGTTTCCCCAAATGTTTAAAGGGGGCCTGAACATTCTGGAATCCTTGCATGAGGGAGGCCAGCGAGACGGGAAGGTGAAGACACAGAAGCCTCCGGACTTGGAGTCCCACAGGCCGGGTGCCATGGCGCCCTGTGCCCTTGCCTGAGCCGCCTCAGCCCTCTGTGCCTCACTGGGGGCCTCTGTCAAACGGGCCTCACAGGCTGCGGGGAGGAGGTCCTGAGATGCCATCTGCAGCCAACACCCTGCCCTCCAGGACCCTGCTCTCCGTCTGTAAGAAGAGACAGCAGCACCTCCTCACAGGCGGCTTGAGGGCCACAGGAGAGAAAACTCATCAAGCACCCAACACAATGTCCGGCTCACAGATTGGTATAAAGGTGTGTGTTTGTTTTTAATGGTCAAAAAAATTAAAAAGCCCACTTATTCACTCACCCAATCTTTTGTGGAATGAATTGAAGAATTAAGGAAAAACTGATAACAAGTGTTGGGGAAAACTGTGTTTTGGAGGTGAGGGTGGGCTTCGGAGCCAAGAGGGAGTCCCCATTAGATCCCAGGAGGCGACTCCTTAAGCTAAGGTTTGGGTGCCCACAGCCCTCTCCACGTGTCCTCCCACACCCAGCCCCGGCCTGGAGCCCCAGGGGAAGAGCCTGAGGAACACGCCCAAGGGGCTCAGGAGCACCAAAGCCTCCATTTTACAGATGGGAACAACTGAGGCCAGAGAGGAAGGGACTTGCATGAGAGCCAATGTCCAGAGCCGAGGAGGGAACTCCGAGCTCCGAACTCCTAGCTCAGTGCTCCTCTTCTCCACCAACATTCTCCAACCCAACTCCCAGTGGACCCCCTGGAGGAGGAGCCAGGCAAGCCCCAAGCAGTTGGGGAGAGAAGAGCTGGGGGAGGCTGGGAACACTTCAGTGTGGGTGTATCAGGGCCCATCCCCCCCGCCACCCCCTCCATCGGGGCACACTGGGTGGCCTTTCCTGGCCGATTGGCCCAAGCACAACCATCTGGGGTGGGTGGGGTGGGTGGTTACCTGTCTCCCCACTTCACTGTTGTGTAGACGCATCAGTTTATTGGCTTGGGATCCTGTTTTTTTCACCTTCATAGGAGCATCGGAAAACTTGGCCCCCATGAGGAGCCCGTAGCTGAGGTTGTCCGCACATCCTCCCCAGCGGTTCCCGGGCCCGGGTGGCTCACCTGGGACAGGGCCGCAGGAGCAGCCAGGCAGGTCGCCGGAGGTGCAGGCCCGGGCGATGGCGTGGCTGATGGCGGCTGCTGACAGCGCATACACGAAGGCGGACTCCCGGGTCCCTGCGGGGAGGTGTGAGTCAGCCATGGGGGGTGAACTGGGGATAGCACCCTGCCCAGGCCTGAGGGCCTCCTCCTGGGCAGGGCTCTACCTGCTTCTCTGGGGTCCGGTGGAGAAGGGGCTTCAAGCAGGGTAGAGCAGGGGGAGGACAGAACTTGGGCCATTGATCTGTCACCCCGCCATTCTCCCACAAATACACCAGCTGACTTGCACACTCATGCACACACTCACAGGCACACCCCGCTCCCACACACTCACGCTCCCATACTCGCCCTGTGCTCAGGGTTAGGGGCTGCTTTAGAGAAACGAAGGCCCAGTCCCTGAGCTCCACGAAGAGCTCATGTCCCCCACCCCCCAATGGGCCAGATGAGTGTGCAAAGAGCCTACTGCGGGTGAAAGGTGTCCCCCAAAAGATCTGCTCAAGTCCTGACCCTTCGCACCTGTGAATGTGACCTTATTTAGACATAGGGGCTTTGCAGGTGTAACTGAGCTAAGATGCGGTCACACTAGATCAAAGTGGTCACTAATCCAACAACTGGTGTCTTTAGAGGAAGAGGGAGTTTTGGAATCAGAGACGCATAGAAGGAGAAGGCACGTGGCAGAGGCAGACATTAGGAGGTGCAGCCATAAGCCAAGGAACAATGAGGACCACTGGCCACCACCTGGAGCTGGAAGAGGCTGGGAAGATCCTCCGCTGGCGCCTTCAGAGGGCACAGCCCTGCCTCAGAGTGGAGATGACACATTTCTGCTGCTGGTACCACCCCTCACCCCCAGTTCATGGTACTCTGTTACTGCAGCCCTCGCAAATGGAGCCCAGGGTGCCTCAGCTGTAGGGTGTCTTGGTGTTGGGTCCGAGCCCTGGCTCTATCTCTTTATTAGAAAATCGCTTCCCCTTCTGGAGCCTCAGTTCCCCAACTGTGGAATGGGGCTGAGAATGCCTCCCTCACACTCCGGCTCTGGGGTTCAATTAATTTGGGAAGAAAGGAAGCTTTGTCAAGTGCCACACAAGCGTTCGCTGTTCCCGTGCAGAGAACAGATTAGATCCACTAAGGCATTTCTGCCCATAAAAAGCCCTCTATTGTACACACGATCCCCAAATCCACCCCAGAAGCCGCCTCCTCCAGGAAGTCTTCTCCACAGATGCTCTTTAGTTCATACATCACTGTGCATCTTGCAGCAACTTCAGTCAGTCTAACGAATTACCTGTGAACACCGTTCTGCCCCAGGGAGGTTTCCATCACCTTCATGTTCCACCCTCCCCCACCCTCAAGAGCCTCCCTGGCATCACCCCTCCCTTCCTTCAAGCGTTAGGGTACACGTGCATCTGTGCTGTCATTCAGGCTCCCCTGCACTGTATATTCACTCACTGTATGCTTCCTCGTTCATCAGTTCATGCCTAAATACTCAGCTCTGTGATTAATTCATCCACCCATCCATCCATCCACGCCTCTAACCTTCTGTGTATCCATCTATCATCCACCTATTCATTCATCCACCCATCACACATCCATCCATCCATCCACCCATGAATTCACCCACCTATCTAAACACATAGATTTATGCCTGAATTCATCCATCCCCACCTGCATGCATTCCGCAGGCCCTGGCAGCCCCTGCTGGCTCCCTACCTCTCTCCAGGTCAAGCAGGTAGTTGGGGGCCAGCTCGATGGACGAGCAGTTCCAGCGCATGTCCGCGAAGGCCCTGCGGCAGGCCTTCATGACCTCGCGGGCGGCGTGCACAATGGTGTGCATGAGCTCCAGGTTGCTGCGGCACAGCTGCACCTGCGCGGACACCAAGCCCTCCAGCTGCTTGCAGTGCTGCGTCTGGTTCAGAGCCAGGGCTGCCGGCGTCTTGGACAGCGCCCTGTGCACAGCCAAACAGTAACAGCAATAAAAGGAAACACAGGGTGAGAGGGGCCACCTTGCCTCCATGGTCCTCCTGGCCCCATGTCTCCTCAATTGGCCCTACAGCCTTTGTTGGAAGGAGCCAGGAAATCAAGAGGCAAAGTGCTGTCTGTCCCCAGCAGAAATATGACTCCTCCTCCCTCCCCACTATGACCTTGGGCACATCACTGTCCCTTTCTGGGCCTCAGGCTCTCACTCACAACATAGGGTCACGACCTCCATCTACATAAGTTTTATTATAATTCCACTAACCATAAACAATTTCACAGTTTAAAAGGTATTCACATCCATTGCCTTTCTTTAGTTCTCCCACAGCTATGAATCATCCCTCCTTGTTTAACATTCAACACTGAGCCCTCACGAAGTGCTAGATTTATATAATCATCATCATCGTAATACACATTATGAATTAGGCATTTACTGGGTGCATAACATGAGTTAGGAGCTTCCCATCATTGCTTCGTTTAATTATTAAACTCATTTACTAGGCTATAAAGTTGACACACGCAAGGTATTGTTATTAAGGAGCCACTCATTTTGTGATAAAACGAACTTAGCCATTAACTTGATGTGTGATTAGATAAATCACCGTCTCTCTGGGCCTCAGTGTCTGTACCTATACATATATCTCCCAGAATGGGTTCCATTCCAGTGAGACACTCTGAAGAAAGGGACGTAAGCACACTTGGGAAACGTGACATGGTTTGTCCCTGAGAAATCCCGCAAGAAAGCACCAGGCTGAGTTCTGTTGACTCCTCATCCACTGAGCACAAAGCCCTGTGAGCAGTGCCGACCGCATCCATGTTTGGGAAGACAGGCCAGGAGGGTCTCTATGAACCCTGGTGATGCTATAAGACCTAAGTGCCCCAGATCCCGGCACTGGGCACTGGCATTCTAAGACCAGGGAGGGGGTCACGGGTCCACCCTGGATCTGCCTTTCTCCCAGGACTTCTCTGTGGAGTAGACTGCCTCAGGCTGCACCTCCTCCAAATGCAGGCCAGAGGGACCCACAGCCTTAAAGGGACTCACACAGACTAGCCCCCTGCCCTCAGTAACCCAGCACAGACCCTAGAGGGACATCCCCACTTCCCAGACCACAAGCAGGGAAATGTCTGGTGCACCTGGATGCCAGCGTCCAGCACACAGAGCAGACCTCTGGCACAGTTCCTTGATCTCAACCGAACTGTCCCTACCTGGCCTTCTGAGCCTCTGAGGCCACCAAAGCTGGTACACCTCGGGGAACCTGTGGGCTAAATTCCTGCAGCCCATACTGGGTGAGGCGTGACCACACAGAGGCAGACACCGCGCCACCCACCTAGCAGACTCTGCCCACACATGTGGCCCCGGTTTGCAGAGCCTCTCACGTCCCGCCTCATCCCATTCCCACACACTCAGAGGGGTGGGCCAGTGTGAGGTTATCGCCCCTTTGTACAGAGGAGGTCACTGAGGACACCCAGCGCCTGTGTGCTCGGCCTCCCCTTGACACCACCCTCCTGCAGACCTGGGTCCTTCCGGGGTCCCTCTCTGTGGGGCTGGGCGCTGCCACACTCAGCTGTCCTGCGCCGCTCTGCCCTTCACCTCGCCCAGTTTTCTTCTTCCCTTCTGAGAGGGTTTTCTGTTTCACAGCGGGCAGACCGACATGAGACGCCCTGGAAAGCCCAGCACAGTACCAAGCACGCAGTGGGCGCCCAGGCCACGTGGCTGCTCCCTCCCGGGCCTTCTCCCTGTGCTCCTGCTCCCGGCCAAGAAGTGGGGTGACGCGAGTCCAGCCTTTCCTGGGGAGCTCAGTTCAGGCAATTCCTGAATGCCGGTGCTGTGGCTCCCAGGGAGGTGCACTCTGTGGGCCACTCTGGGTCTCGGCCTGTTCATCTCGGCAGTCCTCAAGCATCCGCCTCCCCAGCCTACGGAGAGCGAAGGAGCTGAGGGACGCCGCGGTGAGGACGCTCCCGCACAAAGCTCCGGCTGTCCAGGCGGCTGGTGGACAAAGAAGAAGTGGCCTGGAGGCCTCTGGTGGGCACAAGGTGGAGACTGGGAGCTGCGGGGGAGAGTGGCTGGGACGAGAGGTCTGTGAGGCGTGGAGGGGAGGCCTGCCAGGGAGTGTGCGGGCCAGGAGATCAGGAGGCGGGAGGCAGGAGATTCCACTCCCAAGGAGGGAGATTCGGTCATCTGGTAATTAGTGGTAATGACCGTATCTAACTAAGTCCCCCTTGGGGAGGTAATCAAGGATTAGGGCGGGAGGCGGGGGAGTTACCCGTCTGGACATCTCCACCGGCTTGCCTCACTGCAGCAGACCCCTAATTGAAAACATTTTGGTTTGTCTGGGGGTGGGGGCACGGGGGAGAGGGTGGAAGAGAGGACAGGAGGGAACAGAGAGTTCACAGGCAAAGCTTGAGCCAAGGGTGCTGCTGGGGTGGCCGAGGTCTCTTCATCCAGGAGTTGGGGTTCTCCTGAGACTGTCTAGGGAGCAGAGACCTGGGTTTGAGCTCCAGCTCAGCTGCTCACCCAACACGCGCCCATCCCATTACGTGAGTGGAGACACTGAGGCCCAGAGAAGGGCAGGGCTCGCCCAGACCTGTCCACAGCCAATCGGAGGCAGAGCCCAGCTCAACAGGCCTCCCAGATCCCAGGCTAGGGCTCTTGCACTCCCGTTTTGGAGAGGAAACTGGGGCTCACAGAGGCTAGAGCGACTTGACTGACCTGAGGCCTGGCTCATGCTAGTGGACTGGCGGGGTTCAGGTCCCCATCTCCAGTCTGGGGCTCCTCCCACCTGCTGTGCAGCAGCTCCAGGCCTTCTGGAGGCCCCTCCCCTGCTCCCCGCCCAGAGAGGGGGTGGACAGCCCACCTAGGTCCCCTAATACTTGCTGGTCTGAGACTCTCTCAGCACTTGACTTGGATGAAAGGTGAGGGAGTAGAGGGTCCCCCTGAGTTATTTCTGGTCAGCTGTTTCCATAAGCTGCCAGGCTCTGTCCCCCTCTCTCTTACCCTTCATCCCACCAGAAACTGAGGCTGAATCCCAGGTGCCCAACAGGTGAGCATTCCAGGTAACTCAGCCACACCTGGTTTCAGTCCCTTCATCAAATGGCCCTTTCATCTTTAGCTCACTCTCCAAAACCCAAGGTAGCAGGGCCCCAGGGCAACCCCAGGGTGGCTGAGCCTTCCTGGATGAGTCCCCAGCCTTCCACCTGCACTGTGCACTTCCTGTTCCCAACTGTCCTGTGGCTGCCTGCAACCAACAGGCCACAGAGCCCCCAGCCTAACTCCCAAGCCTGCCTCTGCTGCCTGCTCGCCGTGACAGCCTGTTGTTTGGAGACCCCTGTGCCTCCGTGTCCTCTTCCGCTTAATGGGAGTGACAGCAGAGCCCACCTCCCATGGTGGCTGGGAGATTTAAATGAGACGTATACACAAAGCACTTAGAATGGCGCCTGGCTTGTGGCAAGGTCATATACAGTTGACCCTTGAACAACTTGGGGGATTAGGGGTGCCAACTCCCCACCCCCACATACAGTAAAAAATTAGCATATAATTTTTTACTTTCCCAAAACTTAAGTTGCCCCTCAGTATCCATGGGGGATTGATTCCAGGACCCCTGTGGATATTGAAATCCGTAGGTGCTCAGTCCCCTATATAAAATGGCAGAGATCAATGCATACAATTGGCATCCATGGACTCCCAACTGCGGATGGTAAACAGTACAGGTATTTATGGAAAAAAATCCACGGATAAGTGGACCTGTGCAGGTCGAACCCATGTTGTTCAAGGGCCAACTGTATACATGTACACACACACACACACACACACACACACACGCTGTTGTTATTCTTAAACTCCACTCCTCCTGCTTCCCCTTCTATCTTCAGCTCCAGCAAGAATGTAACCACTATTGAGAGGTTTGGCTTCACAGAGCCTGTCTGCTTGGGTTCTGATCCCACAGCCACCACTAACTAGCTGTGTGGCCTTGGGTCAATTACTTCACCTCTCTGTACCTTCACCTCCTCATTTGTAAAATAGTAGTGATAAGAATATCACCTACCTCATGACTAAAGCTCTTGGAACAGTGTATGGGATTTACTAGCAGGCTCCTATAATTACTTATTTCTCTCTTTCCGCACGTATACAGTCCCGCCTCTACGCTTTTGTCCAGCTGTTCCTCCTGCCTAGGTGCCTGCTTCGCATTCCATCCTTGGCCATAAAATCCTATCTATTCTTCAGAGCCCAGCCCAAAGTCACCTACCCTAGGCGGGACTAGCTGCACCCCACCCTGGGCTCCCACAATCCCTCCCTGAGGACTCAGCCCAAAGTCTACTTTGTTTTTTTCAAGTGCCCACCTCCTCTAAGAGGCTAGATGGTCCTTTAAGGCAGACACTGAGTTGTACCCATTTTTGTGGCAGCCTGAGCTGTGTGGTGGGGCTAGCATGGATGTTGGGCTTAGCTAGTTATTCCAGTCCTCCCACCCCCACCCGGGCCACATGCCAGCTTGGGGGCTGTGCAAGTCACACACTTCTCAGTCTTGGCGGTCCCGGGGCAGCAGGGGAGTGATCGCCATGGCCCCCGCAAGGCTTTAAGAGCAAGCTCCGCTCAGCTGCCCCTACCTTGCTCTTTGGCAAATCCTTTCCCTCTCTGGACCTCAGTTTACGTCTCTATAAAATGGTGGTGGTGGGTAAGGAGGGCTGGGACTCCCTGATCAGAGGTTCCCACCAGCTGGGACAGTGCCAGGTACTGGCAGTAGAAGTAAGGTTGTTGATTTCTCACAAAACTAATCAGGAGCAGTTGGGAGGCTGCTGAGCCCAAACTTCTTGCAAACAAGAAATGCAGAAAGATGGGGTTCCCCTCTTCAATCATCAATTAATTGACAACTCAGCTCCAAAAGGGGCAGGGCTGGTGACCTCAATGCTATTTGCTGGTGGCCTGGCCACTATCACCCTGTCTTCCAGCTAATCCACGACCCTTCCTCACAGCCCCTCCCTAGCCCCCATAATCTGTCCCCTGCCTGTCTTATCTGCATGGCTCCCCACCCCCCACCCCAAACTCCAGACTGTGTCCTGTCCTGGACTTTCCCTCCACTCACAGTGCTGTCCTTCCCCCTGTCCCCACCTGCCACACTCCCACAGCTCCCTCAGGCCCAGAGCCTAGAGACACTGCCTCTGAAAAACCTCTCCAAGGTCTCAAGTGTGTGCCCCCCAACAGGTGGTCTCCCCCACTCTGGGCCCCCACAACACCACCCTGCTCCCTCCAAGGCACTTGGAGTTATTTAGGGCCTGTGCTTATCTTTCCAGCCCAGAGAGCAGCTCCTCCAGGGAGGGGCTGGGTTTGACTCTCCACCCCTGCAGGGCCCACAGTGATGCACAGAACAGGCACTCCCTTCTGCTGGATGGAAGGGCACCTCTCTCTCCCACCTACCCCTCCATTAATCATTTCTAGCTAAAGGAATACCCTCCACATGTGCACAGCATCTGACAGTTTACGAGGTTCTTTCAAGAGCCGCTTCTCTTCTGATCTGAGGAGGTACAGATGCTTACTCTCCTTTCACAGAGGGGGACACTGAGGCTCCCACAGGCTGTGACACTTCCCCAAAGTCATTCAGGTGGAGGGTTAGGGCTGTTTGAGGACCTCCAACCAGGGTAAGGAAGCTAACGAGGAAAGACAACAACGAGAAGGCCCCGCACGTGCGGGGCGCAGACCCTCTTGCCTGTGCCCCTCGCCCAGGCTGCCCTTTTTCATCTGCCCCCCCCCCCCCCCCGGGGAGGCCTGGCACAAATCTCAGCTGCCCGAACAGGGTAACTCCCTCGTCCTCCTCTCCAGGTCGCTCCTGCTGCCTAACCCCTTGAGAGGTAAGGACAATATTTTGCCGAGAAGGGGAGGAAGGCTTAAGAAAATGACTTGCCCTTGACTCCCAAACCAACTTCTGCTCCCAGGGCTGGGGCGCCCTTACCCCATTCACGGGGCCCCTTCCCAGCCCCAACCGCCTATCCGGAGCCCGTCTGAGTGGACGTGGGGTCCCAACTTACAGCCACTTGATTCCATAGCACACGCCGGTCTGGAGCGCCAGGGCGAAGAGCAGCGCCTCACAAACCTGCGGCCGCGCCCTCATCGTCGCGCGGCCGGTGCGCCCGGGGTGGCACCCTGGAGGAGCCGCGCCGAAGGTGCACCGCGCACGGCCACCGCCGCTGGTCCTCGCGCTGGGGGCCTGCAGTCGGGAAAGCGGAGGCGGCGGGTTAAGGCGGCGCGCGGGGCTGGGGCTGCGGCCGGGCGGGGGGGGGGGGGCGTTTTATTCAAATTACAAAGCGGGGGGAGGGTCCGGGCCCCGGGAGGCCGAGTGTGCGGCGGGCGTCACCTCCCGCCCGGCACAGAGCGATATTCCGCCGGAGTCTGGCTCGAATTAGGTGCCGCCCGAGCGCAGCCGAAGGCGTGTCCACCTAGCACAGTCCCCGGCCGCTTCTTTGTGCCGTTCGGCCCGGGATCCGCACTGCGGACAGGAAGGGAAGGGGGAGACAGAACCAAAGACACTGGAGAGACCCGGCAGTGGTGGGCAGGGAGACCGCGAGAGGGCAAGGCGCTCAGAGACGAGACCGAACAGAGAAGCCGGGATAGACACACGGCGATGGGGAGGGACCGAAAGGAGAGGGAAAGGGGGTCGGGGCGGAGGACCCAGGCGGGCCAAAGAAGGAGCAGGTTCGGAGCCCCGAGACCGGTTTCTTATCTCCGCAAAAATACTTATTATATTATGGCCTCGATGATTTTCCGTTTCCGCTGGGCCTCAGGTAACCCTCTCTGTACACTGGGGGTACCACTGTGATTCGAATTCTGATAACATCGTTCACCTAACAGGAACGGATTTGCCCCTTCCAGTAACCCTGCGAGACAGGTGCTGTCACTGCCCCCGTCTCACAGATGAGAAGACTAAGGCCCAGAGATATGAAATGAGGTTGTTCAGCCCAGTGAACGCATGTCCACACCCTGTGTTCTACTCCCACGTCTACTCGGGTGTCCCGTGAGTTCACGGACTGTGAAAAGACAAGAACATAGAGGCTTGCTCTGGGCATGAGTGTCTTAGTGTGTGAAGGGGGGGATGAAAAATGGGATGGCAAGTCTCTTTGCACGGTGAGGAATGCTCAGGGTGCCGGGTCTCCAGGTCCCTCTCCCGCGGTCCCCCTTGGCCTTGGCTAAGCCGGGAAGCGCACCCAGCCGGCGCAATGCCACCTCCAGTCGCCAGGCGGCGTCCTGGGGCCGCGGAGCGGCTGAACCCTTCCCGCCCATAGGCCGCAGAACCGCTTTCTCCGGCTTTTTCTTCTTTTTCCCCCTCTTCATTCTCGCCTCATTAACTCCCTTCCCAGCTTCTCCCAAATTTACCAACACCTGGCGTTCGCCCCAGCCCCTTTCCCTTGGGAAGGAGCAGAGACAAAGGGATTCCTTTCTAAAAGGTTTGGGGAGTTGGAAAAAGTAGGCGCCCGCCTTCGTAGGGGAGCTTGAGTGGGAAGGGAACACTATCATTTAACTGTGAGAGCTTGGACAAGCCCTCCACCACCACCCCAGCCTCAGTTTCCCCCTCTATAAAAACAAAGGACTGGACTTCGCGAGCATGTCCTGAGGTCTTTCCAGCCTCCCAGCAGTCTGCGGGTGTTTGAGTTCCTCTCCGCCTGCCTAGGTTTCCACTATTTCGTATACCTGTGTAGTATGTGCATGTACGAGTGCCTTAAACACAGATTTGAAAACCCCCTGTTTTCTGGAGCCTTCCGCCATAATCCAGAGGAAGACAAGGAGAGAACCCTGAATTAAATGTATTTTCTCCTTCGCAGAGTCTTCCGATAGGCGCCTAACACAGAGACACTGACTACAAACAAGCAAATCAGCGGGGTCTCAGCGGGGTTCTCAGTGTAACTGAGCCCTCTCCTCCCACCCAGTCTGTATTCAAACCCTTTGTCTTACTGGCCTTGAACGTTTACCACACTCCTGGGAACGAGAAAAACATCGGCTGGGGGGGGGGGGGTCGAACCTCGAGTCACTGTCTCTCTTCGCCCCCACCCTTCCCAAAGTGTGAGCTTCCCTCCCCCCACCCAACCAGGCACCCAGCACTGGGGGGGGGGGGGGGTTGCACAAGAAGGAAGTAGAGAAAATTCACAGCGGGGTATACGAGTGCAGCCCAATTTGCCCAGAGGGAGGAAGGGCGGCCCGGGTCACACAGCACTCGGGGACCCAGTCCTCCAGCTACTCCAGCTCTTTCCGAGCTGCCCTGGTGGCCCCGGGCTTCTCCCTCCGCCGCCCCAGCACCTCGCTGAGGGAAGCAATGCCTGGCCTGGGCCTCTGGGTGCTGAGGGATTATTCCTGTCCGATGTAAAAAGGGTCCAGGACAGCCGCGCGGACCGCTGGGTCACCCTCGGCCTGTGCCCCGCGGGTCAGGGCGAACTCGCCTCCCGGAGTCCCTGACCCGCCAGGGGGCGCTAAGTTGGGGTTCAAGGTAAGATAGGGGGCTGCCTCTCGTGCCGTGGGACTTTGGGCAAGTCCCCTCCTATTCCTGGGTCCCAGTGTCCCTGTCTGGGGATGGGATGAGGTGCAGTGTAAGTTCCCTCTTAGTTCTAGTCCTTCTATAAGACATTAACTTGCCACCGGCAGCCCCAACTGCCCGACCCCTTGCCAGGTGCTGAGCCTCGCTTGGGGCCAGGCTCGTAGTGGGCCCGCGTCTAAGCTCTTTGGAGAGAGAAGTGGTCCCTTCCTCCTTCCCCTAGGGTAAACCCAAGGTACCCGCTTGCCACCGGCGAGAGAGACCGCCCGGGCTGTGCACACCCTGGGGCACCGCGAGCGCAGTACTGCAGCCCTGCTCCAACAGGTGGTTATAAGGCTTGGCTCCGTATGTCCCTGGAAACTCCGCTCCTAGGGCGGCGGCCCCTCTGAGCCAAGCCGGCGGAGACATGCCGAGCCTCTCCTACCCGGATAAGCCCGCACTGGGTCGAGAGCCGACACCGGCGCCGGGGTAGGGTGTCCATGCAGCGCGCTAGGTCGGCGCCCGCCGGGCCTGAAGCCTCAGGCTGCGCAGCTCGCAAAGCACACCCCAAGAGCCGGTGACACCGAGCGACCGCTTCAAGGTTACCTGCGATGCAGAGCGACGCCGGGTCCGAAACCCGGCTTTGCCCCGAACCGCTCCAGTATTGAGAGATGGGTCTGCTTCCTTGCGGACGATGCGCCGGCTTAGCCGCGAGACGAGTTATTTTCAAAGTGGGAAGAGTGGGGTAGGGGAACTTGGGGTGCTGCCGACTACTCCTCAGAGCCCATCCCTGAACGCCTAAGAACAGTGAGGGTATGAAAGCACCTCAGTGCCGAGAGGTGGGAGGTGTGGGGCTCGTGCAAGAGCTCAGCCAGATGTTTGGGCGGCTCCAGATGTGCCTCACGGCCGGGACAGGACTCTCCTCTTCCCCACCCCCAGCCTGGAGCTCAGGTCTGTAAACAAACTCCTAGTTCTCCCCCACCCCGCCGCTTCTGGGACCTGTTCTAAAAGCGAGGCGTTCACCCGCAACCCCCAATTTGGTAGGAGCTGCTGTGGTTCTCTGCCTTTTGCCACTCTCTCCCGCCCTGCCACACACCCTCCGCCGCAAGATCCAAGTCCCCCACCCCCGGGATGGCTCGGGCATGACCTCATCTGAGGGCCGACTGAGAGGGAGGGGGTCGAATGGGGGAGGGGGCAGGGCCGGGAAGGCTCGCGTGGGCCTCAGGAACCGCACAGGCCACCTCCATCACTCACTCATCTGCGGAAAGCCCGCGCCCCCGGCCGGGTGGGCTGTGCTTTATAAGGGGCATGCCTCGGAGTGCCGCGGAGAGGTGTGGAGGAGGGCTGGTTTGCTTACCCGGCAGTGGGTGCCGCACAGGGTCGCGTCGTCCCCCTCGGACTCGGACGCCCCCAGTCCAAGTAGGTCCCTGCTCAGCACCCGCCCGCTGCCCGCACTCACCGCTCACCTCCTGGGACGCTCGCTGGCGGGTCGCGCCCCGAGTGACCGGCTGCTCGGCCGGCCGGGCAGCGGCGAGTGCGCCCCCAGCAGACCCGGGCGCTCTTCGGGCTGGGCAGGCGGTGAGGGCGCCCTCTTGGCAAAGGAGCGGTAGAAGGGCGCCCGCCGGGATCCTGGCAAGCGGCGGCCAGCTCAGGTCCCGCGGGGACTCTGGCGCGGATTCGGGCTGCTCTGGGCTTTTCTCCTCTCCCAGGGCCTGCGCTCGCCCGCGCGCCCCAGCTCTCCTCCTGGCGGGGCTCGGTCTTCGGCGCGGGCCGCCCAAACTGCTTTATAAGGCGCCGGCAGCCGCTTTGATCCGCCCACGTCAGCGCGCCGAAACCCCACCGGGTGGCTCCCGCCGCGCGCGGGGGGCGGGGGCTGGGTCCCCGCGGATGCCACGGACCCGCGGCGCCAGCGGCGCAGAGGACTCCGCACCCTGTGCAGTTACAAAGAGGGGACTTACTAACCCCAGCTGGTGTTTACCAAGCGTGCCTGCTGTGAGCCTACTGCGTGCTGCGGCGCGTGGGGCCCAGGTAAGGCAGGTTTCTGAACCTCGCAGCAAGCCCGGCAAAGAACCCCAGCCCGTCTGGTTTAACAGAGGAGGAAGCCAAGGCTCAGAGGGAAGTCCCACTTAGGTCTCATCTGGAGCCCGGGCGGGCATTACTAGGTGTTCGAATCCTGCAGCTCGGTTACTATAGGTGGTGGGGATCTGAGAGCTGCGTTGCCGTCCAGTCCATCCTTCCTGGGACCATCTCCCAAGGGCTCTGGTTCCAGTTCTGGAAAAAGGATCAACCAGCCTGAGCTCTCTGCGGAGAAAGGAGGCGAAACAGCTCTGCACTGGGAAGTGGGCTGTAAACCTTATGCACCAAGGAGACAGTGAGCCTCTGGGATGGCTGCTGGGAGGCCTTCTGAGCACCTTGCCCCTGGTCCCTCCAGGACCACCAGCAGAGGACTGGGTTTCAGAAGCTAAAGGGGACTACAGAGGTGCTTCCTACTCGGTGTAGACCCAGCATAGGGCTGGCGCTGTTTCTGGGACAACTACCCGGGTACTGGTTGGGTGAGTGCCCAGCTCCCTAACCCCCACCTTGGCCTTCCTGGCTGAGGTTACAGGTCCCTCCCCCTTTTGCTGGGTCAGGTGCTGTGGTTTCCGCGGCTTCTATCTCTCTCCCAACCCCCGGGGGACTTCAATCCCAAGGATGATCTAGTTCATTAGTAGAAGATGAAACATACACTTCATGGA